ACTTCACAATAGAAGAGTGTCATGAGTTCGAGTCTAGTGCCGCTGAAGACCTGCCGTGAAGAGGGGCTGATGCACGTTAAAACTGTCGGGGCTCAAACATCCTCCCGTTGGTGTAGTGTGAACGTTAGAAGGGGGACCAGCTCAGGTGTCGTCCTCGTCACTTGACCATGGTTCAAAATTACGAGGTCGTCACCAAAAGCCCTCGTGTAGCTGAATAGGCGACGTTGTGATATTCACTCACTCACAATGGAAGAAGAACACCTTAAATCTTGGTTAAAGATTATGCGATTGTATGGTTAAATTCCATAACCTATTGCATTTCTGTATAGCTTCCTATTAAAAGGTATATGTCATTTTAAGACGATAAATTCGCATTAAATGATCACGGTTAACTCTTCGTGTGAGTGGTGGTAAATTTTAAACGTCACTCTTCACTACAGGGCTTTTTGACTACCTCGTAATTTGAACCATGTCAAGTGACGGGAACGAAACCTAAAACTGCCCTCTCTCCTAACTACCACGCCTCACAAAACTCTTCGCAGGCGTTGCTTCTGTCGAGACTTGGGCTCACTAAAGACTCGCTCTGTAGAGAAATTAATGCGTATTAAATCTTTGGAAGTTCATAAATATCCCTTTGGATTAGTGTGGTAGTTAAGAAAATTGGGTGCTAATCTAAGTATCGTCCTCGTCGCTCGACACTGGTCCTCAAAATTATGAAGCAGGTTGTTAATAGCCCTCGTGCGGCTTCGAAGTACCATGTTAATAAGCAATTCACTCAACTCAGACGTTAATATTTAAAGTATTCAATATGTCAATCAGCTCTATCGGAAGACAAACAATTTCCGGTGTTGTGAGTCGATCAGGTGATAAGAACAGCATTCTGGATGGTAGTTCCATCTCCAATTTTCACAGCTCTCCGTGAACGGAGTTTGAAATCTTTTCAAATCTAACAAAAGCTGATATTGTTTTACATTGTACTCTGGATAGAAAAAGAGCTAATAGACACCAAGATGTTGTTCTACATGCTGAAAATAGAGAACTAATTCACATAATTATAAATATATTATTAATTTTCTTCAAAAAGAATTGTAGAATAATCAAAGAAGTAAAAAGTCATTTAACTTTAATTGAATATTATCCGAACTTATATATAAACAATGTAAAAAAATTATAAATAACTTAACATAAAATATTATAAATACAGACGTTCTCCTTCATTCATTAAAAACAGTAAAAAAAAAAACCAGTTGTCACAATATTACAATTAAAATTTTCATTATAGTGAGCATCTTTTAATTAATTATTTTAACTGTTGATTATATGACGATTAATTTGTACGCTGACATGTGTGTGGATTACAAACTGAAGTGTATTGCCTCAAGTTCATTTATATAAATATTTTAAATATATTATGATTTATTTTGCATAGTCTATATTTTTTCATACTTTTAGATAACTTTCTCTCATTCATACTTTTTTTTCATACTCTTTAGATTTTCATACTTTTCGAGTATTTTTTATTGTTTTAATAAATTGCATCTTAATGTTATGTATATATAAAGCATTTTAACCTTTTGTGTTTTCTTTTCTAGTGAGTACTCGTAATTGATTTATTTATAATTATTGTTATTTATATTCTTTAGAAGCTGTTCAAAATTCTGGATTCCCGTGAAATAAGATAAAATTACTTAGGTTGATGTTAAAAAGCTATCTGTCTGACGAAGTCAGATCGAGGCTCACGAAATTCATCGCAGTAAAAGATTAAATGTACGCCTGTCGTTAGCCTTAACTTCGAGCACCATACAGATGATAGTACCATTTAGCTCGGTTCCACCCTAATTTTGAGGGGGGGCGGGATCCTCCCACCTCTCTTTCCTTTCCACCAACCTCACAAGAGGAACTTGCGGCTCGATGGCTATTTAGAGCACCCTCACACCGAAAAGCACTAGACATTTACAAACAGCTATGCCTTCTCCGGGATTCGAACCCAGGCCCTACGGTTCAGCAGACAGTGTCACTAACCACTATACCAGATGGGGGTTAAAATTACTATATAATATTCATGGCAGATTTTAAGCAAAAGATGATGGAAAAAATATAAGCAAACGCTCATAGACGAATAAAGTTGGCGGTTTTTTAAAATTTCCATTCTTATTTCTTTTTTAGTTTAAGAGAGAGAGATGTGTGCTTTCGCTTACTCTTAAAACATATATAACTAAGCGTTAAATCGAAGTTAAATGGTTTTAATGTAAAAACCTACATATTTTATAAGAATTAAATAAATATTACATATTCTGTAGTTTCCCATTCAAATTTTTTTAATAAAATAAATAGAGTTGATAAGTATTAGGTTTTGAAAAGAATTACGGCTGAGAAATGTTTACTTTTCAAAATGACTATTCTATCAAGACAGATTCCGAAGATAGTAATAAAAACAGAATGGGACATTAAACTTATCTTCAACATAAATTATGACATATTATCATAATATAAGTGAATTTAATATAATATCTTGTTTGAAAGTGCTTTCTATAAATAGATATATCAACCTTTTTCTTCTGACTTTTTAAATTTTCTTACGTTTCTACTACATCTACTTGTTTTCTTTATATTTCAATTGTATATCAGATGAATCCTTTAAATTTTTTATTTTTCATACAATATCCCGATTCGTTAAGGTTTAATAACCCCTTCCTCTTTTAACTGATATAAAATAGGAAGTTTCTAAAAATTAAAGAGAAACAAGTAATATATCAAATCGCTTCCTTACGCATTTTCTTGTAGATAAAATTGAACAAACATTACTTCTCACAACTCACTAAAAATAAACCGTTCATCTCAAAAAATTTTGACATCCAGTGGCATGTAAATTCAACAAACTCAACACGTAACTCTTTGTTAAAGTGTTTAATTAAAGAGTACACGCGCGCGCGCGGTGCTCTAAAATAATCGAGATATTAGTAAAATTTTATTTTATTTCTAAAATTTAACTTTTTAGAATTTAAGTGCGTAACTTCGGACTTGTTATTATTTTCAATAAGTTTTTTAAAAGTATCAAAAAAAAATTTGGGAAATTTTGTATCATTTGATTCGGTTATCATATTAACGAAAAATTTTAGCTGAACCTTGGCGCAGCCCGTGAGAGCCGACCTACTGTGAGTGATTTCCAGAGCTGTAGACGGGTCATCGGGCAATGAGGTGCATGAGCAGATGTCCGATAAGGTGGTCATTCTGAAGCGAAATCCCAGTGTTTAGTCCCCAAGCAAGCTTGGTACTCATTTATCGACCCACTGAAGAGATGAAAGGCAGAGTCTACCTTGTTCGCCGAGGATAGAACCCCGGGCCTGTGGTGTGGGAGCTCAATGCACTACCAATCGTCACTGGGCCTTTAACGCTATATTATTTAAGTTTAATTTAGAATCGACATTTGAAAATTTTGTGAAAAAACTTTTGGGGTAGATTCATAAGAGGCTGCAATAATGATTTAAAATGAATGCCTTTTGGTAAATGACATGTGTCGGAGTGCGAGGCAAACACTTTTCAGTATTAGAACTCAAAGGAAATTAGTGTATCTATAGGAAAGTCAAAAGAAGGATAGTATGTCAATCATGTAAATTAGAAGTTGTGGCTAAAAGCGGGATTAAAACAAGAATAAAAAAAAAATCAATGCCTACTTAGATCAACAAAGAAAATTTTATTTTGCTATTTTTTATTTAAATAGTTACAATTAATATAAATATGTATATACATGGGACAAATCCAACATTAAGTGGTAATTAATTTTAAATTATCTGAAAGCATCTATTGTCATCCAAACAATCTTGTCATAAAATTTAAAAGTTCAACTGAATGTTTAAAAACTGAAAAAAAACCTTTTTCAAGCTTTGACACAAGTCAAAAAAGGGCCAACGTGGCTTATTTGTAATACTTTAAATAATTATTTTTTCAATTATTTTTTTTAATTATATTAAATTACTGTATTGTCCTCCAAAATAATCAATATATAAAATTTCGCTCAATTGAGCCTTTAAAATGTATTTTATTAACGACTGAAAAATTTCCCCGAAAAAATTTAAAAAAATAATATATAAAGAGAGAGATTTTGTGAGCTTAAAAGTAGGGTGAAAAACAAAATAGACGATTTGAAGAAGAAAATAGTTATAGAGGAAAACAGTTTGAAAAAGGGGACAGTTAAAAAGTTGACACTATTAACAAAATGCCTTTCTTTCAAAAAATAGAAAGTCATTTAGTCATGATATTCATGCTATTTAATTTTACACACAGCAAGCTGACTTCGTACCTCAACATTTTACATGCTCAGTTAGAGAAAGCATTATACTTCTTTCTATATTGCATCGAAGTACCATCGTATCACGTTAAAGCAAGCAAAAAGCATCATTGAGTAAAATTAATTTGACCTAACTATATATATATATATATATATATATATATATATATATATAATATATATATATATATATATATATATATATATATATATATATATATATATATATATATATATATATATATAGAGAGAGAGAGAGAGAGAGAGAGAGAGTCAGTCTATTAAAAATTGACATCAAAGGGTCTGCTTCAAAGATATATGAGGTATTTCTCTTTTAAAATCATAGTATTGAAAATCTCAACGGCATTATTCGGAGAAACTTTTCTAGTATTATGTCGAGTCAGCATCGCAGTAATAAACGAATTTTTTTTATCCTATCATACTCAAACTCAGTGGCGCAACAGCCCATGAGGGCCAAGGGCCAACTGTGCCCATCTCAGTATACGTAGCCATTGGGCGCTGAGGTGCATAAGCAGATGTCCCGATCAGGTGGTCCGTCTGAAGCAAGACCCCCAGTTTTTAAGTCCCCAATCAAGCTTGGTACTCATTTATCGACTCACTGCAGTAGGGATGAAAGGCTGAGTTGACTTTGCCCATCCCGGGAATAGAACCCGGACCTGTGGTGTGGAAGCAATCTTATCATAGAGACACAAAATTCCTTAGAAAACCACCAAAGAGAAAGGGGTAATTTCTTAACGAACTGTCAGAAAATGCTAGTTATTTTGACAGACTATCAAAAAAAAGAAAGAAAGAAGCACTGTACATGCAATTGTACGGAAAAAATACATAAGCAAAAATGATCAATAATGACAAAAAGCCCTTATTGCAGAGGAAGGAGTTATACCAGTTAAGTTCAGCCATTGAGAAAACATTTTGAATACAATCAAAATTAATATAAGCGAAATAAGTTTTATTAATTTAACAAAATTTACTATTAAGTATTATAAAAATAAACATATTACATTTGTGTGCACATAAATATTTTTTCTTTTTATTTCTCTTCTACAATGACTTCAGAAATATGATTTCTGTCTCAATATAGAAGGTTTCAGTTTAAAATCAGTTTTCTTAATTTACTTAATGTTTGTGATGGTCTGATATATAAAGCTCTCTAATGGCATTTTAGAGTAACTGTAGAGGTTTGAAATTCGTAAAAGCATTTGTTTAAAAAATTTCTTCAGATATTTGTGCCAAAAAATGCTTGTTTTATTCAACAGCTATTTTCTTAACTTCATAAAGAGTATTAAGACTTTTTTTAATGTTTTCTACAGAAATTGTGAGAAAAGCTTCATAAAAAATAATTAACTACAATACAATCAAATACACGCGCAAAATTATAAGAAAGGCTTCAATGAAATTAAAACAAAATTATCAATGTATCAAAATTTATAAATATGGTATTTTGTATTTTAAAATTATAAAATGTAATACATTTCAAGAAAAATTAAATTTTAAAATAGTACATTATTTATAAATAGTGGCTCCCATCTGAAATGAATGTTTAATGAGCCTTGAAATTTAGTATAAAAATTTATTTGGATGAGAATAAGAAAATTTTTTAAAGAATTTCCCTTCACCCACAAGATATTCTACCCCTCAAAAGTTTTAAGTAAATTGTAATTTTTTTAATAGTTGTGTATTAAGGTTGTGTCTTTCTCTTGGTGATAAGGTAAGATTCCCAACTTGTCTCTTTTAATACTGAAATACCTTTAAATACCGATATTAATGCGAAAAACCCCACATTTACAACAGATACCCTATTTATCATATTTCCTGTGTATTTAGAAAAAAAATTCCATATAACTAAAAGAATTCTTTCAGATCTCCGACTGGTTTAGTAATTTAAATCATGGTCCGATGATGAGATCGACATTTGAACTGATACTCTAATTTCCATAGTGATGACTTAGCGCCTATAAATTTAACAGCATAAAAGCTCCTCTACACGACGAGTTTATATTGGAATTGAATTGTCAGTAGTCGAATAGGAAGATTGACTGAAACATTTCCCGTCACAAGCTTGATATCGTAATGGTTTGAACCACGTTTGTGAGTCAGAATATCATATTTGTACTTTTCGATATGAAAATTCATTCTAGGATTAATTCATATTTTTTAAGCATAAGGCTAAGAACAATATTTGAGCCATCATACAGAGTAGTTTGGACCACTCCAGTTAAAAATATTATTTCATAATTAAAGGAACATTGAGGTAGCCACTGATACCGGCCGTCCACTATATATTCAAGTCAAATGATAATTATATTGAAGACATTCAGTGGACAATTAAGAAAACTACGAATTAAATGGAATTAATTCTCAAAATATTCACATGACATAGAGTAAATATTTAATGAGAGTGAAGGGTTAGTTTAAATGTGTTATTTGATTGTGGTTCAAAATTGACAGTAGGTGTTTAGTAGTTTTAAATGCCGGCTAGGTAGCGTAATTGGTTTGTCGCTGGCCTTCTGCACCCCCAAGGTTGCGAGTTAGACCCCGGCCCAAGTAGGAGGATTTTTTTATGCAGAAAATCGACAGCGGCCATGTCGTATGACTATACGGCATGAAAAAGATCTTTTGAGTGTCCGTTTGGCTTGGATGCTCTCGGCAAAATTAAATTCCTAAGTACAAATTTCGCATCGGCAGAGCTCAGGTGCCTTCCTCTGGGGAAGAAACTGGGCGTCAA